AGCCCCGGACTGCCGTACAGCCCTTGACTGTAGCGCAACTTACTGATCCCCATGCCAGCTGTATAATACACGACAGACACTTGTTACGAGGGACCTGCGTAGCTACTTGTGATCACCATTTTAGAACAGTCGATGCATTCACAGGTCTACAATAGGAAGCGGGAGCCCGTTGATCTTCAGCATCTGGTTGATCAAGCCCTCAACGATAGAGATGTTGTTGTTGCTGGCCGATTTGGTACTGGCAGACTGCGCAAAGGAACGTGTCCACGAACGCCAATGTACGTTGTTGGTGTCTCTCCCCGATGTAATTACTCTCTTGGAGAAGTTGATCTCTACAGAAAATCAACTGTTTGCTACCGACGATCGTTTTGCTCTCGATTATGGGTTGAAAATCAGACCAGTGACGATAAGCCTTATGTCGTCCTTTATGGAGTGCTGAACTTAATTGAACGATTGGCACTTGATCACTCGGAGGCTTTGCACTGTGATTGAGGCATACTAGACCGTTCACCATAGGTACACTCCGATAGGTCCCGAGGATGACATTCTTGTTTTCGAGAGTCGGTTCGAATCGGGGAATCTCCAAACCGCGGTCAAAGTTGGCGACTGGGAGTGAACGAGCGCGAACACCACAGAGTTGAAGTATTCTGGCCGCAGATACGACCTCGTTGTATGTCCGGATACGAACACCTATGGCAACACCCAATGGTTCTTCTTCAGTGTTGAGAATTTGTCTAGGGGTAGCAGCATCAAGCTGAACCTGGTAAGATCTCGCTTCCAGAAAGCTACTCCTCCTGATTGTGATCTTCGGCATAGTTTATAGTCAGCGACGTTATACGAGAGATATGTGATGATCAATACTTTACAAAATCTCGTAGAGTATTAATTACTCCTTTCTCATAAGAATGATAAGAGTTGCTCTTCAAAGCAAATCTCGCTAGAAACAGCCGTGATAGTCAAGTTGTTCATAAGTCCACTGGAGGGGTTCGGCTGTGACCAATGAGCGAGACGTGTCAGGTTACGATGGGGAAGCCGTCGTCGCTATTCCAAAAAGGCATGCAACCCGTAGTCTGGTCGAAACAAGAGTGACCCCCCTATCCGGATGTCTATTCCTGAGAATCGCAACTCAGATTCCATCAAGGGAACGGCATTGGGTGGGTGAGGGGCGCTGGAATCTCTAATATCGAATACGGCAAGACGAATACTGACAAGCACCTTCTAACGAGGTCAGCTCCAGCTCATTGCCTATCCAAGCTCTGAATAAGGGAGATTTCAGGGTTGCTGCCGCTCTAGAAGTTGGAGATTTTTGCGAGGGCGTTGCTGCTATCGAGATAGCTTGTGAGTGCATCAATCGTCTTCGAGTGCGATCAAAGTGAAAAAAAAGAAATTATACTACTGCCATTCGGACCGATAACAAGGGATCTCTGTCGCTTAATGAAGAAAAAGAGAATATTTGTGTGAGTGTGACCTTCCTAGAACTCTAGCATGGTGAAACCCGCTTGGGATGGGTTGGATATACATGCAGTAAGAAATACGGAGCTGCTGTTCTGTCAGGCCAGGCAGCATCCTTTGTAGAGGCTAGTGTGCTGACCTTTGAATATACTCCTCATTGGGATGATGACACTGTTTATTTCGCCTATACTTACCCCTATACTCTCACAAGACTACAGAACTTCATCAAGAGCATGGAAAGCAGCCGCGGAGGCCAAAAGTGACTCGCAATCGAGTAAACTTGTGGGTTCATCCTGAGTGGTAGATATCTATCACGATACCCCTTGTGCCGCACTCTTGCTGGCAACAGACTTGATATGCTCACTATCACAAGCTCAAGAGAAGAGAGTGACCATGGGTTGGAGGATGAGACAATGGATGAGGAAGACGATCATCTGGCTCTTCATGAGACCAGAAAGCAATACATTGTCATCACAGCCAGAGTGAGCGACACGTACTCATCGAGTTGCTCCACAATGCAATTTTATGCTGTCTAAATAGAGAAAAAACGACTACATGATTGAACTATGTGTCGTTTTCCTCTTGAAGTCATGACGATCTACTAGGTACATCCAGGGGAGTCTGTCTCGTCCTTTGCCTGTGAAGGTCTGATAAGGGAACTCCTATCAGACTCTGACCTAGCGCGGAAGCTCAGAGCTAAATACATCTTCAAAATTGTATCGAGTCCCGCTATCTGGCCAAGGCGTGAGGCGCTCGTTGTAGGTGCCTATGCTGAATCCAGACGGTGTTGTCCTTGGGAACTATCGCTCTAATCTCAGTGGCCGAGATCTCAATCGTGTTTGGAATCAGCCATGCAAGTTCCTGCATCCCACAATGTGAAAATCAGCTGTTCCTTTGCAACAGTCCGAGCTGGCTGGTACACTTCTCAGATACTTCACGAAAAAGGCTCTGAGCCGGTATACACCGCTAGCACTATTTGCCGACCTTCATGGCCACTCCAGGAAGCTTAATTGGTTCATATATGGATGCTTACCACCCAGGAAACCCCGGATGCGAGCAAACATTCCGCCTTTCATTCCACCCCCGAGCATGAGAACTCGAGATGCTGTGATAACCCCTTTGATGGAGAGCTCGGAAAACTACGTGCTTAGGTGCTCTTGCCACTGCTGTTGTCTCGGCTGTCGCCAACCTTCAGTGCCAAGAATTGCTACTTCCAAATGCAGCCTCAGAAAGAGTCAACGGCGAGGATCACGATGTGACCAACTTAGTTCATCCGAAGTAGCTCGGTACTGTGCTCAGCAGTTACAAGGAGTTCACTCTGCCAAAGTGCTTGACGGTTGAAATTTCCTTCTGTGGATGCGAGGAGAAACAGTTCACTATTAAAGACTATCTTCATATTGGCCATGAAATTGCAGAGGCATTCGGCGAAATGACGTGAGGTCGTTCATCGAGATCGTTATTATTTTTACATTATTCAGGGATGCCTCTGTGGAGCTACCAGAAGACCTCTCTGAGGAGATCATCAAGAAGTTCATCAAACAAGCCGAAAAGGCTGCTGCCAATGACGCTGGTATACTAGCGAGAGACCATTGGAGGTTTTATCGGGTTCCCATCTCAGGAAGCGACTCTGATCCCGAGGCTGATCTGAAGCTCCCCTCGCGTAAAGTCGTAGTTAAACGGCGTCGCACAGTGGTTAAAGAGACGAAGAGGAAGTCGGGCCGACGTGATTCGAAAGCGAAGAATAAAAATGACGATTCAGAATTATCGGGTACGTCAATCGAGTTGTGCGTGGCAGTAGCTTGCCTCAGACAAAGCTCCGAAGAGTGTTCCGAGGTCGAGGTCACAACGTATCATACGACCTCGTATGGAAATCTATGAGCAATCTCTTGGTGAGTTGCGATATGAAGTGAAACGATCTTTTGCATCAGAAGACGAGTCGCCCAAGAAGCAAATTTCGCATCGTGTCTTGCCACGGAATTGCTTTTTTGGCAATGAACCCTCTAGGGTCTCCCAAGGTGTCATAATGTAGGCCACATGTGCATCTGCCGATCTGTCTCCCGTTAGGCGTCTTGGGCGGAGTCCCGGCGCTTTCTATGACTAATGTACCACTCCGTCAGCGCAACTCTGATTTCTATGAAGGACGCCCTGGTGGTCATCGATCCGATCGAGCACTGATGTTCGCGCAAGCTCCGAAATTGGTTTTCCTTTCGGTGGGATACAGCCGCATTGAGTACGCCAATTGTATTGGCGTCTTGCTTAGGGCCAAACGTATGTGGTGCACAGTCGTACGCCCGGCGTTCCTGGAGGAGAGCTCATCCTGTTTCCGTCTGAGACCACACCAGACCTCAGGTGAATGGACGCCAGCCGCGATGCTCCATAACTGATGATCAGATACGGCAGCTTCGATGGTATGAGAACACGATCGAATGGCCTCGCTCCTGCTCAGCAATTGGTCAACGGATTCCCTAGTATCAGCATGAAGACTCGAAAGGATGGGACGGTATAGTCAGTTTTGATTTGTACTCCCTATCAAGCTACTCAGTATACCCATCAAGATGATGATGGCGCTCTTGACCCCATACCGACGGAGCAAGAATACTTAGTCCGGCGATCTCCCGACTACGGCCCGCCAGGCCTGTTAGCTCCTCCGACATCTCCAGTTAACAGATGACTACGTGCCTCTTACATGCATGGTGCACT